TGTTAAATTTACAAAGAGTGGATAGATGATTTGAAAATGGTTTAAAATTTAAGTATAAATTAGAAATAACTTTTTCTCATAGTTTTGTTGTTTTTTATATTCTTACTTGGTAGAATTTATAATGTATGAAATAAAAAACTGACTAAATATTATTGATTAGCTGTTGTTGTTCATTGCCCTTGAGTCTACAATATACTAATTACCTAGATGTGGTTTGAAATGCTGGTGCTTAACAAATATAATTAAAATTGCTGTCTCTGCCTTCATAAAGGTAGTTCTGATGTGGTGCTTCAGGGTAATGCATTAGACCACAAGGTCAGTTTCAACTACAGGTTGGCTGTTCAGACTCACCAGTTGCTTCTCAGGAACCCTAGACTGGGTCACTATGTGTTGGAACTATCTCGACAGCACTTAACAACAACAACAACACCCTCATTAGGAGTGTAAAATCAAGTGAGGAAACTCACCATATGAGGCAGGACCTGCTTTGAAAGCAACCTTCTTTGAAAGCAACCCCTTTGTCAATTATCTACACCTATTCTCCAAACTAAATGACAGACAGTAACTTTTTTTCAAACTTTCCTTTTTTTTATATTTCTGCCTTTCTTATGTCTACATATTTTCTTCCACTGAGTTATTTAAACTGAATCCCACCTTTGCCTATCTTCAGCATCCTATTCATTGCACATATCCAATCAGTGCCCAAATTTTATGTTTTCTTCCTCCTACGAATTAAATTTATAACTAGAGAGTGGGCATCAAAACATTCATGGAAAATGGAATAAAACTATAGTGATATTTTTTCATAAACTTTTGGAAGCCCTTTCATATCTCTCTATTCTCACTCTTGCATCAGTGGCTTATTCAACATCATCACTTCTACCATCATCACTTCTAATCTGGATTACTTTTATTTGTTTTATAATTGGTTTTACTAACATACATTTCTCTCTCTAATCTGTTATTACTAATGTTATTTTTCTAAACAGTTCAATCTAATTATGTCACTCCTTTATTCTCACTTATGTAATTGTACCTTTTGTCCTCATATTAATATCTTTGAATTCTTTAAAATCATTTATGAAATGATCCTGTCCTTTCTTAACTATATCCATATCTTCCCTCTGTATATGCCACAACCTAAATCTCAGTTCTTGTAGCCATAATTTGTTTCTCAAATTTACCTCACTTTTTCTCTCTCCTCAGGATCTTTCCTCATGCTGAATCAATTCCACTTTGAGACCTACACATGTTCTGTCCCAATCCAACTTTGAAAACTCAGTCTACATTTATACTTCCTCAAAAAAGCACCTGTGACCTTTCAAGGTTTGCTTTGTAGTCACACTTTATGCTTCTATTATTTTTTGTTGTTGTTGTTAGGTGCCAGTTAGGAGTTAGTTCCAACTGACAGTGACCTATGAATGACCTTGTGGTGCCTGGTCCTGCATCATCTTCACCATGGTTGCTATGTTTAATGTCACTGTCACAGATGCTGCATCAATCATCTACTTGAGGATTTTCCTCTTTTTATGAGACAATCTACCAAGCATGATGTCTTTCTCTAGGAACTTGTTCTTCCTGATACCGTGTCCAAAGTACATGAGATGAAGTTTCAACATCTTTACTTTTAGGGAGCATTCTGAAGTGGATTACCAAGAAAAATTGATTGAATACAGAAGCATTCAAACTTAAACAAATTTACAAAAGTAAAAAGAGGGAATAATTTAGTTACCAAATATCCAATGAGGAGGAAAACAAATGTATGAATGAATGAATGAAACCAAATTGTAACCCTAAAAACTAGACCAAGCCTTACTCCTAGCACTAGCTAGTTTCCTTATCTAAACACCAGATAAAATGATAACTAATCTCTAACTAAAATATTTTATTTAACATTTTGTATTTTGACTTGAAAAGAGATTTTGCTGAATAAAATATACTATTACTACTACTACTACAATTTTCTCATTATCACAATCTATATATTCTACAGCTCTATATGCCATAAATAATATCATTTGAATAAAAATGGTGACAATATTAAAGTAAAATTGAATTCAAATCTGTATAGAATATTTTATTTAGGCATTGCTTAAGCTGCTTTCTATAAACTTATTTATACCCAGTCATAGAAGGAATGAACTTGTTACTTTAGTTTTAGATTATTAAAATAATGTATTGATTTTATCATTTATAAATAATCATCATCGTTTATGCTTATGTGTACATATGAATTTTGTAGCTATAACGATTTATCCCATAAATAAGATACAGATGCATGTTTAAATATTTTTAAGGTTCTAGAAATCATATTGATAACGATACTGGTTAAATCAGAGAAGTAGCTTATTTCTAAAGAACTAATGGGAAGAAATATCTGCGAAGCACATGAATACAAGTAGATTTATCTGTATTTAAAACATGTATGATGATATATATATATATGTTTATTTGTATATTTATCTAGTTTTAGACCCATAGTTTTATTCCTAATTTATCTATGATGTGGAAATGAATACCTGAATATCTTTTATTCATTGAAAAGTGTTTTTCTAAATAAATATAACATAAACAATAAACTATACCTACATATTAAAATTTATAACATGATTTATGAAGTACTCAAATGTACTCAATTTTTGTTTTGGATGTATCTTATTTTATAAAACATTTAGCACTATGGAGAACATTAATGGAAACTTCTAAAGCTTGGTCAATATATTTAAATGTTCAATTTTGTGACATGTTAACAAAAGTCTGATTATGACTCGTTGACTTATTTTAAAATAAATATGTAAAAAAGCACCAAGTAAAAGACTTGCACCTTTGAAAATATAATTATTCTGATTTGTTTAATATTTACTTTTGTTATCACCCAATTTGAAATGATGGTATTAAGCAATACTTTAAAAAACTATTAGCCACCTAAGTACCTTTATTGCTGAGGAAATCTTCTAGGGGCTAACTAATTGACTCTGTATTTTGTCTAGGTGTTGAGGGAAAGCTAAGAGAATGAAGGTTCTAAATCCCCAGTGGAAGCATGATATGGCGGAGCAGAGCTGGTGCTGAATTGTTCTCTCTGATGGCTCTATGGGAGTGGATAGCACTGAGTCTTCATTGCTGGGTTTTAGCAGTTGCTGCTGTCTCCGATCAGCATGCCACAAGTCCCTTCGACTGGCTCCTCTCTGATAAGGGACCCTTTCATCGCTCACAGGAATACACAGATTTTGTGGACAGAAGCCGGCAGGGATTTAGCACAAGATACAAGATATACAGGTATGAAGCAAAGGGAAAGCAATTACAGAAATGTCATCCTTGAAGGTTATGCATAAATAAGACGTTTCTTTAAGGGAAAGTTTCAGATGGGAAAGTGTTATTATCAAAAGGGTTATTATTTATCATGTACTATACTAATGTTTTCTTGTTATTTAAAAAACATTTCTTATAAATTTAACATGCTATGCAAAAAAAGAATAATGGTGACCACTTAAGCTTCATTCCCCAAAATCTTGATTATTATACTGCCTTAAAGTCAATGCAATTAGCCTTGAGGCTGAATTTCTTATTTTATAACTTAGTCAAAAATGCTGAGAAGTAGTAAGTTTCTCATTTTAACTAGGCAATTTTATAAAAGAATTTGCTTTAATTGCTTTTCCTTTCTACCTTATATCATGATAAATTATTGGTATCAGCCTAAATGGAAATGGTTTCTTTTATTAGTTACGTAAAGGTTGAGTCACTTCATCCTTTTTACCTGAAAATTAACTTTGCAGTTAGAAGTTCAGGAAGTAGCAAAAGAATAAAATGAGATACCAGATACACAGGTGATTGGAGAAAAACCAAGAAAAAGGATGGGATTAAGATATATGAACTTTAACTTTTGTTTCTCTTCTATATTTGCAATCTGAATAAATTACACAAAAGGAGTTATATATTAAATTCAACAGACTCACTGCTCCTGCTAACCCAGTGAACCCATTCAATAGAGGAGCCTACAAGTGGTTGCTTGAATAGATTAGATTCTATTGATTTTTACATAAAGTATGCTTTATGTAAAGTTATCCTTAGTGATAGTTTATAATTCTTAGCAATTGGTTTAGCATTTATGTGGAACCCAAACTTCGTTTTATAAATTTTGTATGTCTGCATCCAGTAGATATGGTAATATAAATATTTCATTTTATGTTATATGTGCACCAGAGGGCACTGTACTTCAGGTCTGTATGTAGTCTTTAATACAGTATCATGAGAATTTTACAAATTCTCTCAGTACTGTATATTTACAGAAGACACTGAACAAGTTCTGAAGTGCATCATACAATCAGTGCTGAAATTTTAATAATATCTTAGTCCAGGCATCCAGGACACAGTTATAAGCCTAAAAATAGATTTTTGAATAAAAAAATAAAATGACAGTTATTAAATATTTTGTCATTTTATTAGACAGAATTTTGTTTCAGAGATTTTGTTTTTGAAATGCAATAAGAGACATTCATTGTATTTTGAGTCTTGGTTCATTAAATTTTCTCTGTGCTGGTTGGTTTATGAGCTGTGTGTAGCTTCTTTACTTTTAAAGTATGAAAATGTCTCATATTTTCGAATTCTGCAAAGGATTTTTAACAGTGTGTCAGGCAAGTTGATGCCAGAACATTTCTCCATGATCTATTGACATCTCAATCAGGAGGTTTGAGGTGTTGTTTTATCTGTGATTATTGTGGTTTGGCTTATCGGTCAATCAGATGTGAGTTGTAAACAAGGCTTGACATGTTACTATAGTTCCAGGCTGAATGAAAGAAGCATTTTGAACGCAGTACTGAAAGGTAATGAAAGGAAAAAAACATGCTTGAGGTTTATTTGCAAGGTTTATATATCCTGTTTAGTCTTCAGGGAAGTATATTTTTATAGACCCTCATTAGCTCTGTATGCCTCATCCTTCCTATGACTTAACCTTTGTGATTTCAATAAGCAAGTATGAATATTAAGTCTATTAACTGTGAAAGTTTTTTGTTGTATGGGAGGATAACAGGACATAACTTCTTATGAAACTTTTTAAACATTCCCTAATGATAATTTTTTATTGCTCTATTAAGAGCAAATGTTATAATCTGTAATGTTCCTTCAGTCTTGGGAAATTGAATACATCATTTGTCCAACTATTATGGAACTTCATCTCTCTGCCTAACTACCTACCTACCTCTTTGCCTTTCTTCCTATTCAATATGTCAGATTCTGCTTTTCTGCTTATATTGACCCTAACTTTGAGAGACTGGTGAATTTGAATTTCAGAAACTCTAGTAAAATCTTATTGTTTTGTTTTAATACTTACCTTAGAAATATCATTGGAATTTTGTCTTACACTGATATTTGGCTAAGACCCAGAAGTTATTAGTATTTATGAAATTTAGAAGGAAAATAAAACATTTCCATATCTAGGTACCTGGTTTATTATTTTATATGACCATATGATTTCCAAAAATGATCAGTCAAATGCTGCCAGTATTTATTATTGCTATCCATAGCTCCTTCATGCAATATATTATATTGACATAGCTTTCTGAAAGCATTAGTTATAAATATAAAACTTATTAATATTGTTAAAATAATTAGGTCAGTCTTTTTCTGATATCATTCTTTATTTCCTTTGCAAGCAACGTGTTTTCCATTTCACCTAAATATGGAATAGTATGATCTAACAAATGAACATTGTTAGAAACATAGGCAAGGTTTTAAAATTTTTTTATCTTTAAAAAATTAATGTGCATATAAAATATTTTCAGATTTACTGCTATACCTATATATAAATGTGAAGTCAGTTTTCTGGGTAGATTACTTAATTGGATGATTTAGAATGAAAATACTAAGTTTTTACTTATTGAACTATTAACGGTTAGGTCTTAAATTGCGTTTTCCTCTTAACTATAGATTACACATTGGGCTGCTAATCTCACAGTCAGCGGTTAGAAACCACCAGCTGTTCCATGGCAGAAAGATGAGACTTTCTGCTCCCATAAAGATTTATAGCCTTGGAAACCCTGTACAGGATTGCTATGAGTCGGAATCGACTCCACAGCATATAATCACCACCACCACAGATTAAAAATAGACACTAAGCATAAGACTTTTAAAGTGTTTTCTCTTTAAAGAAGTTGTCTGTCCCTTGAGAAATTCTGTTCACTATGATGCAAATGAAAGGAGCACACCTTGCCTTTATTAAATTTGTGTCTTATTTTTGCACTTATTACATTCTATATACACCCTCAGACAATATGCTCTCCAGGAAATAATTTCCTTCAAGCTGTGGATATCCTCATCCTTTTAAAAAGTTACAAGAACTCTGGACAAAGCATTCACTCTTAGTAATTCAAATTTAGTTATACTGCACAATTGAAATAAATTCTAAGGTCATAGTTAGGCTACTTTTATTCCCATTAAAATACAGTTCACATATGTGAACAGATAAAGTATATATGGTGATACAAAGTGTTGTATTTTTTTCCCATAATTTTGACTACTGTTTGGGTGATAACATGTGCTAGTGAATCATAAGAAAAATAATTTTTCTACATTATGTATTTGTAATGCAACAACTAAACTTGCTTATACAGATCTTTTTTTTTAAAAAAAAAACGCCCAAAATTTACTTAAGAGAAAACAATTAAGGAATGATCTGTGCCTTATAGGTCTGTGTAGTCATGTTCATTACAAAAGCTGTATTTTAAAAAATATATTTGGAGAAGACAAGATAGTCTAGACAAAGCAACAAAGTACATGGACGTTTTGTATGTAACACTTTAATGAAATGTTTGAAAGAAAGAATGTACATTTGAATAAATGGTACCACATTAAAGGTATTCATATTAGATTCCATCCTGACATGGTAGACAAATGTATACTTTTAAGTGGAATAGTAATATTAAAAGTAAAGGCAGAAATATAAAATGTCTAGGTGTGAAAATGAAGTCCTGATGTGGCACTGTAGGATAAGCACTGGACTGCTAACTGCTAGGTCAGTGACTCAAACCCACCAGTCATTCCTCAGAGATTCTACACATGGTCACTGAGTAGGAGCCAACTTGATAGGCACACAATAACAACAACAGGAATAAACATAGGCAAAAACCATTACAATCTTGGGCTCTAGAAGGATCCCACAAATATTAAGCATTAAAAATAAAATAAAACGGATCATTCAGTTATAGTAACATTAACATGCCTATAGGTTTTATAGCAGCATGAATAATCTAACCAGAATTTTAAATGAAGGAAACAAAGCACACATATACACAGAATTCTATCTGTATCAAATTTATCAAAGGAGGTAAAGTATTATTTTGTTAAGAGATGCATACATCTTGGGAAAAACCTCTAGAATATGATTAGATTAGATTAGAATAGATTAGAATTTGAGGGTTTTCTAAAATTCAGTTCTTAATCAGAGTGGTTTTTATGCTAACATTTAGATTGTATGTAAAACTACATACATTTTCAATGTGTAGTATTTATTTTATAATATAAAAAGTGAGCATATGTTCTTATTTTGCTTTGAAAGACTAAAGTCTTCCAATAAGTGAATTATCGCTTCTCTTTTAAGTAATCCTCTTTTAAGTAATTCTCAAAATTAGCATTTACTACAAAAATTTTAAACTTTTAAATTTAAACATTTTTAAACTTTTAAATTAAAAAAGAACTAGTCAATTATATATTTTAATAGTTACATATATAAATACACTGATTCAAAAGTAGATTTGTTTTGTTTCTTGTTTTAGAGTTTACAAAGACTGATAGCGTAGTGGTTATGAATTGGGCTGCTAATCTCTCATGGTCACCAGTTCAAAACTACCAGCTGTTCTGCGGGAGAAAGAGGAGGCTTTCTGCTCCCGTAAAAATTTACAGCCTCGGAAACCCTGTACAGGGTTGCTATGAGTCGGAACCGACTCCACGGCACATAACAACAACAAATATATGTATATAGATATATAAGCTTCAAAAATTAATGGAAAAATTTCATTCCATTTTTCTACAAATCTTCACATATGTGTATGTGTATATATGTACATATTTTTGCCAAATCTGCTCGGTGGATCCTTATTAACAGACTTAGTATTTTCTTACTAGTGAGTTTCCTATCACATATTTTATTTTTCTAATCAAATATATATAAAGGAGCTCTGGCAGTGTAGTGGTTACAAATTGGTCAGCAGTTCGAAAGTATCAGGTGTACTGTGGGAGAAAGACTAGGCTTTCTGCTCTGATAAAGATTTACAGCCTCGAAAACC